TCTCCGTTTCCTCTTTACCAGGTTAAGCATACCCAACGCCCTCAAACATTCCTCATAAGGCTTGGTTTCAAAACCCTTGGTCATCTTGGCCACCCTCCTCTGCACTTGTTCTAGCTTGTCAATATCCTTCTTAAATTGTGGTGCTTAGAGCTGGACACAGTACTACAGGTGTGGTTCCAAGCACTCTCCCAAGACTGCAATGAAAACTGTTCAATAGGATGTTTAGAATGACATAAGGCCATAAGAAAAGTCCTGCTGGATCAGCCCATCTAGTCTCACAGTGGCCTACCAGATTTCCATAGGAAGCCTGTAAGCAGGGCCTGAGCAGTCTCCCCAGTTGTGAAACCAAGCAACTGGTATTAGGAAGCTTGCTGCCTCCAACAGTAGAGGCAGAACATAGTTATTGTAACTAGTAGCCATCAATAGCCTCGCCTTCCCTGCATTTGTCTAATCCTCTTTTGAAGCCATCCAAGTTAGTGGTAAATTCCATAGTTTGACTAATGTGTGAAGAAGGCCTGTCCTGAATCTCCAAACACTCAGCTTCATTGGATAACCCAAATTCTAGTATTAGGAGTGAAGGAGAAAAATCAGAACACTGGCAGGAAAATTAAAAATGCATCATGTTTGCATTAGTACAGATGACAGGCAATCTCAGGAAATCTTACCAGGTGGTAAGATTATTGCCTGTGTTCATGCACTTCCACCACTAAATAACAAATCATTTCCGGGATTGGCTAAAGTCAGCTTTTTGAAACATTGACAGTCACAGTGCCTAATATTTAGCCAAGAGAAGCATGGATCCAATAGGCCCAGTAGGTATTAGGGATAATGGAGAATGATTAGCTAATATGAGAGAAATCCTCCAGACTTCTGGAATTGCATGACACTGGCATTTTGAGAAAACGTGTTCCATTCCACAGCCCTCTTCTTATTTTAAAAAGACAAAAAGGGAGTAAGAACTTTAGAGAACGATTCCTTCAAGTAAATGCCCCCCTCCTGTTTTTAACTGGCTACTTTTGTCTTCCCTGCTTCCACCGCCCCCGCCCCCCCCACAAGATATCAAAATTGTAGTCTTTGGCAAGCAAATGGCACTTTATCTGAGCTTTCTCTTTTCGAGATGGAAATCTTGCAGGGGCTGATTAGACAGTCAGAACGTGCAGGGAGCATTTTAACTATTTAAAAAATGTTTGACATTTACAGGCCAAGAGCCTGGTACTCCATTGCAAAGGTCATCATTGTGTAAACAGATATTAATGGTTAGCTGGGTAATGGGTACATAAACAGGTCACATTAATAATTAACACAAGCGGGAAGCTGGCAGTTTGGACGAAGCGTGAGGAAATAATGATAGACGCCCTTTCTGGAAAAGGGCAAGGACTACAATTAAACAGGCACCTTAGGAATCAAACCTACTCTGGGGTGAAGTGCTTTCTCACTCTCCCCCATCTTGCCAACAGAATTGTGGTTCCAAAATGTGGGAAGCGTTTGGGCAAGAGTCATAAGTCAGCTGCACAGCATCGGCTTTGCATGCAAAGGGTCCCAGATTCAATCCCCAGCATCTCCCAGGTAGGGCTGGGCATGTTCCCAGTCTGGAATCCTGGAGACCTTCTGCTAGTCACTGTATACAGTGCTGAGCTAGATGGACCAATGTGGAAGCCATGTGGAAAAGAACACTGGATCTTGAAGGAAATGAGATCCACACATATTCCACTGATCCCATGCTGGACTCCATGATATCATCTGGTTGGCCGTGTTGGCAAAGGTGGAAGATGAAAAGGAAATATTTTGCCACTTTAGTGGGATTTGTTTTAAATCAAGATGGTTGCTGCAGCTGCACTCCTATATCAACTTACCTGGGAAGAAGTTCCACTGAACTTTGGGGGGCTTACTTCTAAGTCGACATGCATAGGATTGCATTGGTGGTGTGTAAAAGATGGCTCTGAGATTAGATTTGCAACTGCTTAAATGCTTCTATTCAGAAATGGGTATAGTAGTCAGGACTTGATTTTAGTTTCTAGTCCCCAAGATTGTTATTAATTGGCTTGAAAGGATCTGTGCAATGCCTCGCGAAATCTATGAAGCCAGGTCTCTGGAATAGGTTTCTCAGTGGAGATGGGGGAGGAGTTCAGCATAACCCCATCTTCCTTCCCATGGTTGAAAGAAAGAGAATAATGTAGGGGAAATAATCCCATACATATGAAACTGCATGATGTTTACAGGTAACAGAATCAAGGTGTTTTCTGTGCTGAATTTTGACCCTTTTTAAAAACACAGAATACGCACTGATTATATTCAATGCATAACACACTGAGTTCCAAGGTGTTTAGGAAGGAAAGCAAATTTCAGCAGAGATACACAAATGAATGGGCATATAAAATGGCCAGTAAATCCATGAGCTAAACATGGAAAAAGACATTTAAAAGCTTTTTTCCCCTCTTCTTCCCCTCCCTGCTTCTCAAATAGGTCTGCTATTATGGGATCCTTAATGCACAAGGATAGTGTTCTTGAATAAATCTTTAAGTAATTCAAAAACAAGGCTCTTCAGTAAATAGTTGAAATTAAAGAGGGAGTCGGAGTCATCTGGTTTCCATTAGGATGATAAAATAGTTCACTTGAAACCTTTTACAAGATGCTTTGTTACTGGGAGGTGTCTGCATGGCTCACTCCATCACTAGCTGGTTGACACAACATAAAAAGTCTTCAAAAGGCAGGCGAGGCCTCTTAATCAAAAACTAATTGTAATAGATATTGGGGAGTGTTAACACAGTGACCGCTCGGTTGTATGTCTGGTACGTAAGCAGGAGCGAACATTAAACACAACCCTCATTTGATAGGGCTTATCGGCATCTCAGAGTTAAGTGCTAAGCACTGTAGGCCAGTATCACCAAGCGATTGCTTTGTACCACTTTTGGAGTTAATTGCACCCTCGGACTTCACCTTCCCCACAAAATTTATGGGGTTGTCAAAGAACATGGAAACACGCTGGAGATACCATCATGGTGCCCAAGTATTCATCAAAACTACAGAGAGTTCAAGACAGGAGAGAAAAGTTTTTTGTTGTTTTTTAAAAGAGTCTATGGAATGCACTTCATCCTTAATGAAGTGTTTTTCAAACTTTCTGTCTTGAGGGAGGCTTTTCTGCACATAAGTGGCTGTGCTCCTGAGCCCCTTGTGTGTTGCAGAAGTTCCTGGGCCATATTAAATTCACATGGGGACTGGCTGAGACTGTGGCTAGGCCCTGCAACAGCTTTGGACAAACTAAGGGTGTACCCTAAAGGTAAAGGTAAAGGGACCCCTGACCATTAGGTCCAGCCGTGGCCGACTCTGGGGTTGCGGCGCTCATCTTGCTTTATTGGCCGAGGGAGCCAGCGTACAGCTTCCGGGTCATGTGGTCAGCATGACTAAGCCACTTCTGGCAACCCAGAGCAGCGCACAGAAACACCGTTTACCTTCCCACCAGAGCAGTACCTATTTATCTACTTGCACTTGGATGTGCTTTCAAACTGCTAGGTTGGCAAGAGCAGGGACCGAGCAACGGGAGCTCACCCCGTTGAGGGGATTCGAACCGCTGACCTTCTGATCGGCAAGTCCTAGGCTCTGTGTTTTAACCCACAGCGCCACCCGCGTCCCTAGATGACACCAAACAGGCTCCTAGGAGAAGGATAATGGCTAAACTGTCAGAAAGAGAAGGTTGCTCTCTTGGGGTCCTGTTGGAACATCTTTCCCCACCAAGGACAGGTACTAGGTGGGGAGGCATAACAGTATCAGGATCCCCCATAGGAATCTGTTGCTCTGCACATTATTTCTGCTGGGGTGGCCTCTTGCAACTTTTGTGTGATGGCCCTGGGGCCAGATTCCCCTTCTTCAGGGGATGAGATTGAGGACCCACCGCCACCAAATGTTTTTTACCTGTCCTACAATGTGTCCTTGAACTCTGATAATGGCACTTGCTTGCCAGCATAGGGGACAGAGACAGATGTGTATGTTTTGAAATTACTTTATGGTACAAATGTCACATGGACTTTTTTTGCTCCACACACATATATCTCTGGTCCCACCTGCAGCTGAAATGTGAACCATGGAAGGTTGCCCAGAGGGGAATGCAGCCCTTGGATGGAAAGAGCTCCCCACCCCTCAGGTCCTACATGGATAGAAATGCTTCCCCAATACAGAAGTTATCCTTCAGCATGTGAGGGACTGGAAGAACTCATGTGACCTTGGGAGGGGGGACCTCAATAAATGGTCCCTGCATTCATTTCTTTTTTTACATTGCTGCTTTGCAGGAGCTAACTCATGAAGAAATCTGTGGCCTTTTGTGGTTGCATGCCCAACCATAATTCTGAATATCTTTTTGGGGGGTGAAAATATTGTTACATACCACCCCAATCTTTGAGTGGTGGGGTTTTCCAGGGGTTCTAGCCCTTGCTCACAGTTCGGTTTTCTTGGAATGAAAGTTAGTGGAGACTGTAGTGTCTTACGAATATAAGGTTTCATATACACAAACATACCACTTGATCATAGGATAGAGGGGCTCACAGCATTAACACCCCCAGAGATCTTGCTTCTCCATTATTCACAGCCTTGGATCCAGCACAGAGCAAGCATGTCTCTGTATATCCAACTTCCAGACAACTTCCAGCTCAGCTCATACATACCACTCTGTTGTTCTCCTACCTAGCACTAGGTGAGGTGGCGATGGGAAGAAGGCTCACCCATTTGTTCTATGGCACAGAGCAGCTTCTTTGTTTATGCTAATCCTGGTGCTTTACTAGTCAGTCAAAGTTCCTTAATGAAGGAACTAGTTTGGCAAGCTTGCTCTCATACATTCTACCCCTACAGATACAGGATCCTAAGAAAGGATGCAGACTACCCTCCCAAATTCATAACATGGTGCTTCAGCCAAATCCATATTCTTTATTTCAGCCCTGTCCAAATGTAATGAACTGTCATTGATTGCATTACTTGTAGATCTGTTCCACAGTCAAAGCATCCTTCATTCTGCCTGGATAGCTCAGTTGGTTAGAGCATGGTGCCGGTAACACCAAGGTTACAGGTTCAGTCCCCGTATCGGACAACTGCATATTCCTTCATTGCGGGGGGCTGGACTAGATGATCCTCAGGGTCCCTTACAATTCTATGATTCTGCCTGTCTATACAGCCTGTTAAGAAAAGTCTACTGGATCAGGCCAATGGTCTATCTAGTCTAGCATGCGTTCCTTACAGTGTCCAGTCAGATGTGCTTGCGAAGCCCCAGCGCAGAACCCGAGCTCAATAACACTCTCCCCACTTGTGATTTTCAGCAACTGGCATTTAGAGGTATACTGCCTCTGACTGTGGAGGTACAACACAGACATTGTGACTAGGGGCCATTCTCCTCCTGACTTCTCATGGGAACCAGTTCCATAGTTTAAGTCTGTGCTGTGTGAAGAAGTGCTTTCTTTTGTCTGTCCTGAATCTTCTTGTTATTCCCCCCCCCCCAAATGTAGTAGTACAACTTCCAGACAGCTGTTCCTTCCTAGCCCACTTTTGCTCCTGTTTCAAGCAATATAATTAAAAAAGGATTCGTTGTAATGGAGACATGCCCCCCCCCATTTACTCTGGAATGCTGGTACTATCAAATGTTAGCTAGTCTGTAAATACCAGATTATGATCTGCAAAGGGGTGTGTGTTGCAGATGGGGGGGGGGAGCTCTTCTTCTATAAAAGAACATTCAGAAGGGGAGAGGGAGGAAAACTCAACCTTTTCTTGCAGATGAATAAGCTGCATTTGTTAAAAACCCGCAATTATCTTTAATGTTCCAAGAGAGGCTGTGAGAGCGATGCGTTGAGATGGACCGCAAGGCCACATTTTTGCGCACTTAAATGGGGGCTGACGAGAAAGGACGGCCTTTTCTCCTATTAGTTTACTATATAAATGGGAAGACATTACATAGTTTGAAATTTAATTAAAGTAATTGACTGGATTACGTTTTGTAGTCGTTACTGTCATTAGCTGCCCTGACCCTTCTGTCAAAAAGACGTGCATGAGATTATTTCTAAGGGGGTATTTATTAGGAATATTAACCTCTTCGGTAAATGCTATCAACAGATTAAAATTCATTTTAAGCATTATATGGCAGGCAATAATGCCCGACCAATTGCTAAGATACAAGGAACTTGTTCGGGGCCAGATCAGCTGTTGCACTCACCACTCCACAGAGCAGGGTTCCAGCCAAACACACGCTGTCACCTGGATAGTCTGGAATTTCTCAGTGCAGAAACATACCTTTGATGTTTATTTTCCTCCCAGGTATCCACAGCAGCTGCTGATCTATCAAAGACAAGGGAACCATGGCCATTTTCCAGATGTAAATACAGGTTGTAAAATATTTGACCAGCAGGAAAAGTAAGATGTTTAATTGACCCTACTTTGTGTGTGTATGCCAGTAGAACAGACAATGTGCAGCTGGCTCAAACCCGATTAATGCATTTTACTGGCATGTAGGATACTTATGTATAGAAACAGGCATGGTGTCAGGCTTCTGGTACTGTTCCAGTGCTACATCCGCATCACTGTGCTACTCCCAAATTTGTCAAGTGGAGCTCAGAGGTTTGAAAATGGAAAACATTGTGTGATCGATAGTTCACGCATAGGGATGGCGAAGAAATTAAATTCAGTTCTCATTTAAAGGTGAATTTAGATGATCGGTACTTTCCAAAAGACTGTGCAAATTGGAATCCTTCCTTGGAAATTTGTCCTTCTCTGACTTTTGCAATGCAGATCTCCAGCCAGGTAATGTGGTGAAGAAAAAGCATATACTAGTGTAAGTTGTACTTAGAAATGCATATATTAGTGAAAATAACATATAGACATGCACTATATTGGAGGAAATTGCTTTGCAAAAATATGCAGATTATGCAAAATCACATGCAAAAATATTAGGAGAAATTCACACTCAATGGTGATGAATTTTCACAAGGACTTTTTGCACTAGTTTGATGTTGAATGCCACCCATTGTTTTTAACTAGACAGTGGATTTTAGCTGTGGTCTTCTTCTATTTTGTTTGCAAACCATTAGGAATATTTCCTGATCACATGGTTTATACATATTCTAAATAATATTAATAAATAAGAATGGCTTCACTATCTATCCCTCTTCCAAGAGAACTCTGGGGATTGTAGCTCTGTGAGGGGAATAGTGGGATCTCCTAACAACTCTCAATACCCTTAACAGACTACAGTTCCCAGAATTCTTTGGGGGAAGCCATGAAGGTGGCATCATATTACTTTAAATGTATGGTGTAAATATGGTATAAGTCTTATCAGTACCTGGAAAACTAATGACAGTTACAGACACTCAAAGATGGTTTCATTTCAGTCCTCCCCACACCAGCCTCTGGCCAAAGCAGTTCCCATATAAATTCATGAAGAGGGGCTGCTAAACAAAGTCATTTGGAGTCCTCCCAAATGAATCCTTACCTCACCTCAAGCCCCACACAAGCTACCACGAATTATAAAAGTACTATATTTGAATATGTATTACAGGTTCATTAGCTTGTAAGGGTCGTTGGGCAATCAACTGCACTGAAGCACAAATTTGGAGAATTTTGCCACGTATCTCCATGAGAAGCTGGAGACTTTTTTCCTTATGCATTCATCGCCTTTTGCAGACTTCTTGAAAAAGAGTGTAATTGTATAACTAGAGTCAGCCACCATCGTGTACAAAGGATCCGGTTTGCAGGTGTTCTTCTCCCTTGTGCTACTTGTATACCCACAACAAACAATTCAGCTCTGGCATCTGATACCCTAAGTTTTATCAGTCACACACCTGTCTGAAGGGGAGCAGGAAAGGAGAGGGAAACACACCTTTTCATTACTTTTTCCAAGGTGCATGAGAACCTGTGTTGAATTACCTCATTCTATGTGATGTAATGGAAGCTTGTGACATGATTGTGGGTGGTTGCCCCCCTCCCTCTTCAGAACAGACATTTTTCTCACTGTGTTAAATAACAACATCAGGATGAAGTGTGGAGATAAGAGAGGATGGGGAGAGTGGAGACAGAGACCTGGGGAAGGGGTGGGGAAGAGAAAGAGGGCGACTGGAAGTCTTCCAGTCTCTCTACGTTATAATTTGACCCAATATAAGTCTGTTGCTTCTTCCATAAACCTGTAAGATTACTGAAAACATCATAAGAACATAAGAATAATGCTGCTGGATCAGACCAAAGGCCCACCCAATCCTGCATCTTGTTCTCACAGTGGCCAACCAGATGCCCATGGGAATCCTGTAAACTGAATCTGAGCACAACAGCAACCCCTCTACGTGCACTTCCCAGCAACTGGCATTCAGAAGCATACTGCCTCTGACTGTCAAGGTAGAACATAGGCATCATGACTAGTAGCCATGGATAGCCTTATCCTCCATGAATTTGTCTAATCCTCTTTCAAAGCCATCCAAGTTGGTGGCCGTCACTGCCTCTGGGGGAGTGAGTTCCACAGTTTAACTATGTGCTGCATGAAGAAGCCCTTTCCTTCGCCTGTCCTCGATCTATCAGCATTATGATGTTAGCATGGGAGCAGAATCCCATTGACCAAGGGTGGGGAGCTGTTTTCAGCCTGAAGTCCACTTTTTCTCATGGGCAAATGGATGGGTGCGGCCAGAGTCAAACATGAGGAAGAGCAATGAGTGTGCCTCTTTCTTTTGCAAAGTAGGCCATATCCCAACAACTCAAGATATTTCTACACCCCCAGCTGTCCATTCACCAGCTAGATAAGCAAGAAGCATAATCATGATTCAAAGACACACTCTTGCCAGGCACGTGGCGAAGGTGGGGAGTAGGGGTGCGGAGGGGTGTGGTTTGGGGAGAGTCCTTAGGGCAAGATAGGCCTTTGGTGTGCATGCCTGAAGTTCTCTACCCCTGTCAGTAACCTTCATCACAGCATACAAATAAAATCCATGGACCAAAACCAGACACGACACAAAACATCCATGATCAGGCCATCTAATGTTTTGGGATATAGATATAGAGATAGAGAGATAGATATAGATAGATGATAGATAGATAGATGATAGATAGATAGATAGATAGATAGATAGATAGAGACACTAAGTGTTATTATGAAGTATTGTTGGCTTGAATCACTTGAATATATTGTTAAAAAATTCAATAAATATGTATTGCAGGGTTGAAGAACCAGGTGAACTCCAACTCCAGTCATTCCTGACCACAGAACATGCTAGTTAGGGCTGGTGGGAGTTGAAGTCCAGCAACATCTGGAGGGCCACAGTTGCCCCACCCTGTGTAATTGTACTATTAACATGGGAGGTCAAATATTGATCATAGAACTGGTCTTTCCATTTTGCCTCATGCACAGTTTCAAATATTCCACTCAAGAAGAGGACTGCCCAACGTCTAATCCACCAACCCACATGTGGCCCAGTGACCAACTTCCTCAATTTGTGCAAACTCAGAAAAACAGCAAGGGATTTATCAAGCTCTGGTGGATCATCGTGCATTCATAGTTCACAAGCAAAATCTGGAAAAAACATTTTCACAGGCAATCTTGTAACATAGTGAATGGACTGGTTCTCTTGCTTCAAAGCGGCTAAACCGGGACACAGAAGATAGCACTATTTCATGCAGGACCAAAACCCACCTCCTTTCAAAAATCCCATTTACAATTCTTAAGAAAACCTCCCCAAATTGTCTGGCAGTTTTGCTGGAGCAGCAAAACGCAGCTGTCATGGGAGGTCATGATAGATGGCTCCACTGTGACCCTTTTAGAACGTATATGTTCATATTACATTCCCAGAACCTTTGTGATCAATAGTCAACTCAAATATTATTTTTAAAGAGAAAGAAAGAGAAGGCTAGGGAATTATTCTGAAAGCGGGTAAAGATGTTTCAATAGCTGTCTGCCTTCTGGAACATAAAGTGGTGGCATCTCCAGAGCCTCTGAGGTGGGCAGTCAGCAATCTGATGTGTTGTGTTTGCTTTATAATGAAAAGGTTGTTAGTTAAAAAGAAGAAGTACAAACAACCGCTTCTCATTATGGGAGGCAGAAGAGCTTCAAAACAAGTGGCATGTGATACT